TATACATGTCCTACTCCACAGCTCCAGCTATACATGTCCTACTCCACAGCTAAAGCTACACATGTCCTCCACAGCTCCGGCTATACATGTCCTACTCCACAGCTCCAGCTATACATGTCCTACTCCACAGCTAAAGCTACACATGTCCTCCACAGCTCCGGCTATACATGTCCTACTCCACAGCTCCAGCTATACATGTCCTACTCCACAGCTAAAGCTACACATGTCCTCAACAGCTCCGGCTATACATGTCCTACTCCACAGCTCCAGCTATACATGTCCTACTCCACAGCTAAAGCTACACAGCTCCGGCTATACATGTCCTACTCCACAGCTCCAGCTATACATGTCCTACTCCATAGTTCCAGCTACACATGTCCTACTCCACAGTTCCAGCTATACATGTCCTACTCCACAGCTCCAGCTATACATGTCCTACTCCACAGCTCCAGCTATACATGTCCTACTCCACAGCTATACATGTCCTACTCCATAGTTACAGCTATACATGTCCTACTCCATAGTTACAGCTATACATGTCCTACTCCAAAGTTCCAGCTATACATGTCCTAATCCACAGTTACAGCTATACATGTCTTACTCCACAGCTCCAGCTATACATGTCCTACTCCACAGCTCCAGCTATACATGTCCTACTCCACAGCTCCAGCTATACATGTCCTACTCCACAGCTCCAGCTATACATGTCCTACTTCACAGCTCCAGCTATACATGTCCTACTCCACAGTTCCAGCTATACATGTCCTACTCCACAGCTCCAGCTATACATGTCCTACTCCACAGCTAAAGCTATAATTGTCCTACTCCACAGCTCCAGCTATACATGTCCTACTCCACAGCTAAAGCTATACGTGTCCTACTCCACAGCTCCAGCTATACATGTCCTACTCCACAGTTCCAGCTATACATGTCCTACTCCATAGTTCCAGCTATACATGGCCTACTCCACAGCTATACATGTCCTACTCCACAGCTAAAACTATAATTGTCCTACTCCACAGCTCCAGCTATATATGTCCTACTCCACAGCTAAAGCTATACGTGTCCTACTCCACAGCTCCAGCTATACATGTCCTACTCCACAGTTCCAGCTATACATGTCCTACTCCATAGTTCCAGCTACACATGTCCTACTCCACAGTTCCAGCTATACATGTCCTACTCCACAGCTCCAGTTATACATGTCCTACTCCACAGCTCCAGCTATACATGTCCTACTACACAGCTCCAGCTATACATGTCCACAGTTCCAGCTATACATGTCCTACTCCATAGTTCCAGCTACACATGTCCTACTCCACAGCTCCAGCTATACATGTCCTACTCCACAGTTCCAGCTATACATGTTCTACTCCACAGCTCCAGCTATACATGTTCTACTCCACAGCTCCAGCTATACATGTCCTACTCCACAGCTCCAGCTATACATGTTCTACTCCACAGCTCCAGCTATACATGTCCTACTCCACAGCTCCAGCTATACATGTCCTACTCCACAGCTCCAGCTATACATGTCCTACTCCACAGCTCCAGCTATACATGTCCTACTCCACAGCTCCAGCTATACATGTCCTACTCCACAGCTCCAGCTATACATGTCCTACTCCACAGCTCCAGCTATACATGTCCTACTCCACAGCTCCAGCTATACATGTCCTACTCCACAGCTCCAGCTATACATGTCCTACTCCACAGCTCCAGCTATACATGTCCTACTCCACAGCTCCAGCTATACATGTCCTCCACAGCTCCAGCTATACATGTCCTACTCCACAGCTCCAGCTATACATGTCCTACTCCACAGTTCCAGCTATACATGTCCTACTCCACAGCTCCAGCTATACATGTTCTACTCCACAGCTAAAGCTACACATGTCCTACTACACAGTTTCAGCTATACATGTCCTACTCCACAGCTCCAGCTATACATGTCCTACTACACAGCTCCAGCTATGCATGTCCTACTCCACAGCTCCAGCTATACATGTCCTACTCCACAGCTCCAGCTATACATGTCCTACTCCATAGTTACAGCTATACATGTCCTACTCCATAGTTCCAGCTATACATGTCCTAATCCACAGTTACAGCTATACATGTCCTACTCCACAGCTCCAGCTATACATGTCCTACTCCACAGCTCCAGCTATACATGTCCTACTCCACAGCTCCAGCTATACATGTCCTACTCCACAGCTCCAGCTATACATGTCCTACTCCACAGCTCCAGCTATACATGTCCTGCTCCACAGCTCCAGCTATACATGTTCTACTCCACAGCTCCAGCTATACATGTCCTACTCCACAGCTCCAGCTATACATGTCCTACTCCACAGCTCCAGCTATACATGTCCTACTCCACAGCTCCAGCTATACATGTCCTACTCCACAGCTCCAGCTATACATGTCCTACTCCACAGCTCCAGCTATACATGTCCTACTCCACAGCTCCAGCTATACATGTCCTACTCAACAGCTCCAGCTATACATGTCCTACTCCACAGCTCCAGCTATACATGTCCTACTCCACAGCTCCAGCTATACATGTCCTACTCCACAGTTCCAGCTATACATGTCCTACTCCATAGTTCCAGCTATACATGTCCTACTCCACAGCTCCAGCTATACATGTCCTACTCCACAGCTCCAGCTATACATGTCCTACTCCACAGCTAAAGCTACACATGTCCTCCACAGCTCCAGCTATACATGTCCTACTCCACAGCTCCAGCTATACATGTCCTACTCCACAGCTAAAGCTACACATGTCCTCCACAGCTCCGGCTATACATGTCCTACTCCACAGCTCCAGCTATACATGTCCTACTCCACAGCTAAAGCTACACATGTCCTCCACAGCTCCGGCTATACATGTCCTACTCCACAGCTCCAGCTATACATGTCCTACTCCACAGCTAAAGCTACACATGTCCTCAACAGCTCCGGCTATACATGTCCTACTCCACAGCTCCAGCTATACATGTCCTACTCCACAGCTAAAGCTACACAGCTCCGGCTATACATGTCCTGCTCCACAGCTCCAGCTATACATGTCCTACTCCACAGCTAAAGCTACACATGTCCTCAACAGCTCTGGCTATACATGTCCTACTCCACAGCTCCAGCTATACATGTCCTACTCCACAGCTAAAGCTACACAGCTCCGGCTATACATGTCCTACTCCACAGCTCCAGCTATACATGTCCTACTCCACAGCTAAAGCTACACATGTCCTCCACAGCTCCGGCTATACATTACAACAGCTCATCTTTATCTTTGCATTTCGAAACATGAAGAAAAGTGTAAGTGCTGGTGTTATGATGAGTGTGTGTGTGGGGTGGGAGGGAGGGAGGGAAGATGGGGTGATTGAGTGACGATTTTTGACGTCAGACATTTGTATTTATTTAAATACTGTAAACCGAATTTTCCTCATCTTTCCCCCTTTTTTCCTGACAGAGTATAGATCTCTAGGGCCTCTGTCAAAGCTTTCTCTGACAGAGTATAAGGCCTCTGTCAAAGCTCCCACGTCTCTTGCCACTTCTGTCCCCAACACCTTCATCTCATTTTGTCTCCTCCAGAACCCTACGTCGCCATGTCCTTCTGTGTGGACCCCTTTTTCCTTGGGGTTCCACTTCCATGCCGTATGTATTGCAGTTTTGTAAAGTCTCTGACCTCGCATGTTTAAGTCATTTCTTAACAAGTGGCTGGAGAAATCGTACATTTATGTTACACGTTATGTGATTGATTCCTTTCTAAATGCTAACATTAAATTCATCTGGAGTAAGTCCTATCAATTTATCATTTTAAATATAGGCTGCATAATTAATTATTAATGCAACTGGCATTTTTCTTCTGTACATTTTGAAATTTTTTGCCATGGTGTCACCCGGTGCGGTCCGCACCCCCCCCCCCCCCCCCCCGGCTACGCCTCTGGTTGCAGCTTAAAATGAGCTTTTTATTTTTAATATTTTCTCCTACACATTTTAACCCCCCCCCCCAGGGTCAGTCGCCGCCCCCTAACTGCGCCACTGCTTTTAGGTCAGCTTAAGTTAGGCCTATCAGATAATGCAAAATAGCTAACATTTCAAGAGTAATCTTTTCACTGGCCACTATCTGCCATTGTTATTTACACAAGGGGATCTAATGCTACAGCTTAAAAAGTCTTAAGCCCCTACTCACACAAAGAAAACAAAGTAAAAATAAAACTTGAACTGTTTATTTATTATAAAGGTATATAGAAGATAAATACACGACACATGAGAGTGGAAAATGGAATGGCAAGGGATGTCACTGCTGCTCACTGTAAAACAAGTGGCAGAAAGATGGCAACAAGCTACATTTAAGATCAGAGAGCTAGATACAAGAAGAGAGAGGGAGGGAGGGAGGGAGGGAGGGAGAGAGAGGGAGGGAGGGAGAGTGAGGTGAAGATGTGAAGTTTATATGATAACAGAGATATAAAGATACAGGAGAAAAGATGTTGCAGATCTAAAGATACAGGGAGATTGTATTGCTGAGAACAGATACATCAGTAAATAAAATAAACATATAAACAATTCTTGGCAGCAAGGATTTAAAATCTCTTGTACCAGAGCAACATGACAAATTATGTACAAACATTGAGTTCAATTAACTTATTGATGTAGTAGTATACAATGGAATAATAAAACAAGACTGACAATAGTACTAATATTACCCGTGGCCAATCCGGCTGCTCGGCTATAAATATTGGTAATACTTTCAGTGAGTATTTTAAAAATGGATTAAGCATTTAGTCAATTACACATGAAATGATCAAATCTAAATGGCATTCTCTTTGTTATCCTGTGAGAGAAATGTCCCTGACTGACGACATAATGAAGAGTAGTTGTCAGACAAGTGATACAACATAGTTTAACAATAGCATAAAATCACACCATTTTAAAATAAACAAAATAAATAAATCTCATTGAGTCAACTGTTGACTTAAAGCAATCAACACTTGGAAATGGAAAATTATGAGCAGATTGTTTTTCTATACAAAAATGTTTGAGCATACAAGTGCATTTACTGAACCTCCGACTCCTAAGTATTTGCAGTAGTTGAACTTAAAAGTTAATACTGATTGTTTTAAAATGCACAACTTTGGTTTTTAAACTGCTAATTGTTTCATTCCATTTAACAAATGGTTAGATTGTCAAAGGGAGACAATACAACTTAAGCTTTAAAGTCATAATTATCATATTTACAGAATACAAACAAGACAACTTGTTATAGAATTAAAATAATAATAATAAAAAAACAACATACATTTGTACAATATTAACAATATCAGATTCATTGCAACTAATCACAGCATAATTTACACAGCAAAATTTTTTGTTTGGTTTCAGTGATTGAAGAAATATGTAGTTATTTTCTTCAGCCAAGTCAATGCCATTTAAATATTTTTCCAAACCAATTTTATTAGGTCACTTTTAGCTGCTGAGATAATTAGATAATCCTTAAGCAGCTAGATAAACCACAATAAATCACTCAACCAATAATGCACACATGTGGTTGATTGTATCAAGTTTAGACATATTTGTCCATGATTCTGTTGTTGCTTTTAATAAAATGTTGCAGGGATTGAAAGAATCGTCTCCCCTCGTATCCACAGTACTGTTGAATTTAAAGCTTAGAATAATGATGGCACTTAAAGAGAATTATTTACATTTGACAGCCTGTGCAACTACTTCCTTATTGCAAAATGTAAAAAATATCCTTAGAATCTGCAATTTTTTATTGCTGTTATCACAGTTTGTATCTTCTAGATATCTTGGTGTCTTGATGTGTTCCAACAGGTTTAAATAGATGTTTCTAATGTGTTGTTAGCTTGGGCCATCTGTAAGAAGGCTCTTGGCATCACAGGAGTCTAGAAAAGGAGAAAAAACAAAATGTAAAATTAATAATTTTGTGACAAAAAGATAAGATTTAACTTATACAGATTTAAGTTAAGCAGGCGATTGAAATAGAAAAATATATCAAGTAAAAAAATCTCTGAACTAATAAGGCTATTTGAAACCTGGGTAAAGGAGTTGAATATGCAACTTAATTGAAGAAGGTCAGGTTAGTTACTCACCCCAGGTGTTTTACAAGATCTGAATTCCACCCGCGACATGTGTTTCTGGAAGTGTTTGCTGGGTGTGGTTGGTGTTCTCTTCTTGTATGGGCTCCTGTAGTTAGGCACGTATGTGATCTCATTCTCTGACTGATGAACTAGATAAGACGGGCTCAACTGTTTGGCCAGTGACAAAGGAAGAGGCCCCAGCTTCTGGCCCATGTACCTGACAGGGGAGGCTGTGTTAGATGGTGTGTGTTTGGGTGTACCAAAACTTTCCCTCAGAGATGCTGTGCTGTTGGACTTCTTGAGAGCAGCAGCAGCGGGAACATTTTCCTTGTCTTCTGTGATGTTCAGCAGGGGGGAGTTCCTGCATTCCTGTTTGGGTGGGGAGCAGCCTGGTGCATCAGTTTGTGTGGAGCTGCGCTTGTGCTGGGGCCGAGAGATGCGGAAGTTGAGCTTTGGTGTGGTGGGGGATGTCAGCAAATCTGTCATGGCAGGAGTCAAGGACTGGTGGAGAAAATAGAATAGGTCAGAACTCTGTACAGCATATTTTACATTACTTAACTTACATGGGTGTATGTATATACAAGAGAAGATTCTATCATTACATCAATATATAATTAAATGGCAAGTCAACTGAGGTTTAAATTTCAATTTAAAAAATGCCTTACGCTAATTAGAATATTTTATGAAATTAAAAGATTAAAACCACCACTAAATTGAAAAAGATTTCTATGAAAAGCAGTCTAAAAAGTTAGTAGCATTGTACTACAAAATTATAGAAATGTGTATTTTTAAAATATAGATGCAGTGCATAAGTTTCTAAATAAAGCAAACATCAAATATTATATTGAATGAGAAAACATTGTTGCTCGAGTTTTTCTCATATTGCTGTGCAATTGTTAGTATCAAGCTTGAAATGAAATCAAATAAAAAAATCCTGAAAATGTTTAAATAAGCAGCCAACAAGAAAGAGAAAGTGCAGCTACGACTACAAGCAGGCCACCAGCAGGTTCTAGCTGAGAGAAAACGAACGTCTTACAGTACGGTGTAAGTTGTAGAAGTCCAGTCTCATCCTGAGAGGACCAAGTGTGCTGGGTGAGCAGTTGACCACTGCCACCTTATCAAAGTTTTTGTAAGAACCCTAAAACACAGAGCAGTCCCTTCATACATACCCCATCAAATACAACCTCAGTTACTAACTTTAAGTATAAAAATGAACTATGCAAGAGGACTGATGTAGAGATAAAAAGTGAAAAAGTGGTATTGGAGATGAATGACGATGAATAGGAAATGTTACAAAGTAAGGTTTATGAAGAAAAAAAAAAACTAACAAGAAAAAGCAAATGGCAATGAAAATGGAGAAAAACTGCAGTAGTTTGTAGAGTTAGAACACTGATAACTAACATTTTTAGTCCACAGCAAAGTAAAACGAAATAAGATGTAATCAATTCTTGTTACTTACTTTAACTTCATCATAGGATGATGCAGATGTAGATGAGGATGCTGATGAAGTACTAAGTCTAGAAATCTCTGCGTTTTTGTTCTTGGAACGGCCCATGGATGGAAATCTTTTCTAGAGACATTAAGAAAATGTTGAATACAAAATCTACTCTAACGTACTGATAAACAGACACTATTAAAAACACAAGGGGTTATGTTGTAAGGTACAGCTTGTTTAATTACCTTAATGGATGCACTGATAGATTTACTGCGTTTGTGTTTTTTTGTGGAAGACGTTGGTGTGGTAGTTGCCTTCAAGATTTGTTTCTTCAGCCTGATGTTGTGTGGTGTGTCTGGCAGAGACTGGACATGAGCAAACAGACTTTCCAGCTCAGCCTGGGTGTTGCCAGCTATGTCATCACACCTTGACCTCTCTCTGTCCAGGTAGCACACATTGGTGTTCAATGTCCTGCTGCTCAATGATTTCTGAAAGATTGGGTAGTAAAACACAATGTTATTTTAAAGTTTTTTCCATGATCGATTAGTATTTTATATAATTTTAAATTAATTATTCTGTTACCTTAATTTGCAAAACATTTTAGTTTTTTTTTTTTACCTTGTTGCGATAATGATCAGATAATGCATCTTCGTCATCTGTTGGTGATTCTTTATCTAGCCGATTCCAGTAATTGGCCAAATCTATGATTAGTTCTTTGGGTGCCTAAAAATAAATAGAACCAACACTGTGTTATCTAGAAGTGTGAGTCATCGCTACATGTTTAAAGGTGTGTGTGGATTGTATATTTAAAAAAATATGAACAAATACAAAGACAAATAATTGTAGCAATGAAACATTAAATGAGAGCAGAGCTAATCTTGAAACCAGCACTGGTAACACCTGTCATGACGAACCTAATTCTACCGGTGACCACCCCCTGTCAAGCCTCAAGAAAGCTGACAAATCTCAGCTGACCCTTGGACAACCCCAGCTAGGAATAAATTACTTCCCCTTGAGAAGGTGTGTCAAGGTCTCAGAAAGGTCAGCAAATAGCTTTATTCAAACGCTTGACCGCATAGTATCAGAGTTTGCTCCCCTGCCCAGCAGGTCAGCAGAACAAACATGGCCAATAATCACGGAATTTTTTTTACCAGGCAAAGGGACACAACTAGGGAGAGTTTACTATATCTTAAACATCTTTTCTTAATATTGGCAATATTAAGATATTAGCAATATTAATAATAATGAAAATAATACAAGTCAATAATTAAAAATAAAATTGCATAAAAGAAGATGCTAATTAAGAAATGTATTACCCATGGGCGGCTATATAATGATGTGTAAATAATTACCTCCCCTAGATGTGGAAGGAAACAAGTAAAGTGTGTGTGGGGGGGGGGGGGGGGGGGGGGGCGCTGACCCATTAAATGTTATCGCCATTAGTTACATTGAATCATTGGTGATAACAATGACACGGGCCGAGCGAGATAACAGCCGAAATGAGGCTAAGAGTCCTGTAATTAAAGGCTTAGGTTTCCTAATTGCAGGCCATTACCGCCCTATCAAGTATGTACCATAGTGACCCACACCATGCGTTCTATGGCTATGTAACGCTCGTGTTGTGAGTGACACCTGGTCAAGTTGAGCCTCACAAAACATTTGGGGGCTAGAACAGAATCGTAGCAAGGCCTGCGTGAATTCACTCGGCTGGGCTGGCTTAATGCAGCGTACAATATATTCAACCACATCTGAATGCTCAAGGGGTTGACACTAATCAGAAGCGAGGGCGGTAATCCCAAAGTTTTTCTACAAGAGACGGACATTTTCTTCAGACTTCACGGTTGAAGAGATTTGATTGTGGAACACTGAGAAACGGTCAAGCTGACCTCGGCGCTCAACAAAAGAGAGGCTTAAGGAGAATCAGTATTGCCATGGTGACCGAGGGGAGGGGGCGGGGAGAAAGATTTCAAGTAGGGTGCCTGTTACGTCAGCGCTCCAAAAGTTGTGACCGTTACTCCAGTTTGTGTGACGTGTCACCCGTTACACTTGTGCTCAGGGCAGGGGACGGAGTGGACGATGTTTCAAGGCATCATCTTCAACCTCCCCCGCCTTCACACACACAGTTCAGGGGTCTGCAGTTAATTAAAACGGCTATTTTATTTCTGCTTTAACAGAAACAAATCGACAAACAAATACTTTTAAACGTAAATTTCTCCCTCTTTTTTTCCATACACAGTAACGACAAGAGAAAATCAGCACACGATATTAACCACCTGATTGTATCTTTTTGCTTCGTGGAATGGCGCCACCAACGCAACGTAAAGAATTTGCAAGAGCATTAAATAGGAACCCGATGTCTGCTTTAAACTTGAAAAGTGTGTGTAGTGATTTAGAGATTGTTATAAAGCAAGTAATGATTATACAGATATGTCTCAGGCAGTGCTGATTTAACGACTTAATGTAGGTTCTGGTCATATAACAGCTTTAATGTCGCTGTGTTAGGTGTACGAGTCGACGGGGACTATGCCAGCTATGTTTTACCCCTTGTTTTATGTGGCGCCATCCATGTGACAAACCTGACCACGGCCCACTTTGACCATTCGTTATCGGTCCATTCATCACCGTGGGCGGCGACTAGAATTACACGGACACGCTATTAGCGAGACTCCAGGATAAAAGTATAGAGGGGGGAGGTGGGGGGTTCAGTCATTTAGTTTGATGTAAAGACCGTTTCTTTGAACTCGACAAGAATACGTTAATTTATAATCTATAAAATGATATAACCTTTTGTAAAGTAAAACATTTAAGTGGAGCAAAAAGAAAGCGTAAAAACAAGGTTGCTTGGTGAAGCCGCCAATGGCCATAGGAGGGGGTCAGGACACAATGGGATTTATGTACAAAGGGGAGACCAGCTTCGCTCCACTACCGCTAGACGGCGCTATCTAATCATCAATGCCGTTGTATCGGTTCAAGGCGGCGTCCATCAAAATGTATTGTCTAACTGGTCCGCTGGCTGACCAGCGCTATAATTTGCATAGTTCAGTGAAAAGGGCTTTTATGAAGGTGTGGTTTCTCTGGTCTTTAGAAACTGTTGGGCAGGTGAGACCTAGTTCAATTTAGCCACAGGGGGCAACTTGCTCTAACTGATGTGGAGTGGTCAGTTTAACTAGGTTGGTAGCCTATAGTATGGGTGTAGGGTAGTGGACAGTTTACTGGGTTGGTCTTGCTATGTGTAGGTTGGTTTAGTGTAGGTGTAGGGTAGTGGTCAGTTTACTAGGTTGGTATTGCTATGTGTAGGTTGGTAGCCTATACTATAGGTGTAGGGTAGTGGTCAGTTTACTGGGTTGGTCTTGCTATGTGTAGGTTGGTATAGAATGGGTGTTGGGTAGTGGTCAGTTTACTGGGTTGGTCTTGCTATGTGTAGGTTGGTATAGAATGGGTGTTGGGTAGTGGTCGGTTTAACTAGGTTGGTCTTCCTATGTGTAGGTTGGTATAGAATGGGTGTAGGGTAGTGGTCAGTTTAACTAGGTTGGTCTTCCTATGTGTAGGTTGGTATAGAATGGGTGTAGGGTAGTGGTCAGTTTAACTAGGTTAGTAGCCTATACTATAGGTGTAGGGTAGTGGTCAGTTTAACTAGGTTGGTCTTCCTATATATAGGTTGGTATAGAATGGGTGTAGTGGTCAAGTCTAGGCAGTGCACACATGATAAATTAGATTGTAAGTCAATTAATGTTAATTTAAGTCTAAAAAGTGCACATGTTAGGCTACACCTATACTATACACACATAGTTTATTTTCAAGCTACATTGGTAATGCCAGTAAATGTTAGGTATGTTTTGTGTGTAAATGTGTCTGTTATGTTTCACATAAGAAACAAGGAAATGTATTAGAAAGACCAAGAATTATTTTTACTGATAATGGTAAAAATATTGTATCACTGAATAAAAAACTATTTTTGTTTCAACTAAAACCTCTTAATGTTTAAAAGCTGAAGTAACCCCACCTAGGGGAGTGTGTTATAAGCTACAGTAACCCCACCTAGGGGTGTCTGTTATAAAATACAGTAACCCCACCTAGGGGTGTGTTATAAGCTACAGTAACCCCACCTAGGGGTGTGTTATAAGCTACAGTAACCCCACCTAGGGGTGTCTGTTATAAAATACAGTAACCCCACCTAAGGATGTGTGTTATAAGCTACAGTAACACCACCTAGGGGTGTGTGTTATAAGCTACAGTAACCCCACCTAGGGGTGTGTTATAAGCTACAGTAACCCCACCTAGGGGTGTGTTATAAGCTACAGTAACCCCACCTAGGGGTGTGTTATAAGCTACAGTAACCCCACCTAGGGGTGTCTGTTATAAAATACAGTAACCCCACCTAGGGGTGTGTTATAAGCTACAGTAACTACACCTAGGGGTGTGTGTTATAAAATACAGTAACCCCACCTAGGGGTGTGTTATAAGCTACAGTAACCCCACCTAGGGGTGTGTGTTATAAGCTACAGTAACTACACCTAGGGGTGTGTGTTATAAAATACAGTAACCCCACCTAGGGGTGTGTTATAAGCTACAGTAACCCCACTTAGGAGTGTGTTATAAGCTACACTAACCCCACCTAGGGGTGTGTTATAAGCTACAGTAAACCCCACCTAGGGGTGTCTGTTATAAGCTACAGTAACCCCACCTAGGGGTGTGTGTTATAAGCTACAGTAACCCCACATAGGGGTGTAAGAAAACAAATGCTCCTGCCTACACATGACAGGGCCTACAAATAAAGACGAGGATAAAGAGGACTGGTAGAGGACTAGTTACCTGGAAGAGTTCGTGTGCATTCTCAATCATAAAGGCAACTGCAGGCTCAGTCTGTGCCACAATGCTGCACACCTCAGTGGCGTCCACTTTTCTGTTGAGGAAGAAGATGGGGGCAAAGATTGTTCCAAGGGTTGCAGGGGTCATCTTGGTCTCTGCACACTCTGCCACCTGGTGGAGGAGGGTCACCACATGCCTGGTCATCTTCTGGGCAGGACGGGGCATCAGCAGCATCAGGAGCTGCAGGGCAGACAACTTCTTTTTGGTGTACCTGGCCACCTCTTCTGGTAGGGTGGCATGTTTGCCTAGACCTGTGTAGACATCAGACATAGGGTTAACATGAGAACATTTGTTGTATTGGTTAATAAATGTCAAGAATTGACAGTGGGAGATTGTGCTGAATTAGAGGTTGTGCTGAATTAGAGGCTGTGCTGAATTAGAGGTTGTGCTGAATTAGAGGTTGTGCTGAATTAGAGGTTGTGCTGAATTAGAGGTTGTGCTGAATTAGAGGTTGTGCTGAATTAGAGGTTGTGCTGAATTAGAGGTTGTGCTGAATTAGAAGTTGTGCTGAATTAGAAGTTGTGCTGAATTAGAGGTTGTGCTGAATTAGAGGTTGTGCTGAATTAGAGGTTGTGCTGAATTAGAGGTTGTGCTGAATTAGAGGTTGTGCTGAATTAGAGGTTGTGCTGAATTAGAGGTTGTGCTGAATTAGAGGTTGTGCTGAATTAGAAGTTGTGCTGAATTAGAGGTTGTGCTGAATTAGAGGTTGTGCTGAATTAGAGGTTGTGCTGAATTAGAGGTTGTGCTGAATTAGAGGTTGTGCTGAATTAGAGGTTGTGCTGAATTAGAGGTTGTGCTGAATTAGAGGTTGTGCTGAATTAGAAGTTGTGCTGAATTAGAAGTTGTGCTGAATTAGAGGTTGTGCTGAATTAGAGGTTGTGCTGAATCAAACAGTACCTGCTACTTGTCTGTGAGCTTCCATGTGGCGCTCTGTCAGCAGTGGCTCAGGCAGGTCTCTGAGAAACTCTTTGAGAACCCCTGCAACATCATAGGGGGTGTAAATCTGTGGGTCAATGTCAAGGGAAGGTCCTTGGGCCACCAGCATCTCTCTCAGTGTGTTCATTCTAGCACAGTTACCAGGTTTTCGGAAAATGCCTTCTTTACACACATCTAAAGAATAGATCAATATGTGGTTAAAAAAAATAAGCAAATCAACATTGATCAGATATATACTGAGGAGATGAACATAAGAAAAATGTTTACTTACTAGCATCAGTCTTCAAAAATTTCAACAGAGGCATCATCAGACAGACACCTTCATCTGTCAGTGGAGAACCAAACAAACCCATGGGAGTTTTATCTGCAGAAAAATAGAACAATTTGGTTATAAACTGCCTAGAAAAATAGAACAATTTAGTTATAAACTGCCTTTCTGTTTATCACAAAAACTTAAAAAAAAAAAAAACACCAAAAGGAGGGAGGGGGGAGGTATAGGTATTGTAGAACAATTTCAGCTGAGCGCAGCACATAGTCACATAGCTACTAAAAATGTTTAGAGCATACAACATTGAAAAGCTAATTGTAATTGTGGCTAATGGGCGTTTTGTTGGAGAAAGTAAAAACAGCAAGCTAAGGGAGATAACCACAAAATAGTTAGAACTAAAAGTCTGACTGTGGAATAAAACCTAAAACTCCCATACATGCTTAGTATCAGGGGTCAAGGCGACAGGTTAACCAGCCAAACAATGGCAGCAGTGCAGGGCCCAACCCATTGTCACTTGGAAACAACTGGGTGGTCACCAGGTCAAAGGTCAGACAGTAGAATAATGGCCACCGAAACCTTTTGGTCTTGTATGGAAGGTGATGCTGTTTCGTGTGAGCCAGTGGGTTACAGCAGGAAGGTCAACAAGAAATGTAATATCAGTAATAGATGCCAAAGTTGAGGGCAACTATTCAAAATCATTACAATTTTGCTATGGAGGGGGTTAGTAGTTTAACTCACTACTTTCTCTGCTATTAGATGGTAGATTGGTGGTTAAACTTTAATTAAATTCACTTAGGTGTTTGGGCTATTAGGTGGTAGATTGGTTGTTTAATTAAATTCACTTAGATGATTTGGGCTATTAGGTGGTAGACTGGTTCTTTAATTAAATTCACTAAGGTGTCTAGGCTATGAGATCGTAGACTGGTTGTGTAACTTTAATTAAATTCCCTCAGGTATCTAGGTTGGTAGTTTAATGAGATGGAGTCGGTGGGTCAACACAATCCTTACAAGCTCTAACATCAAGGCTATGACTGGAGGCCATCGGTTGTTCAACCTTGAAACACAACGGTCCCCGCTATTACCTATCTATTGACACGATGCCACAAAGCTTCTACACAGACCGAGCCACATCAAACAGATAGAGTCAGAGAGAAAGAGCTGCCTTAACATGTGTAGTTGCAGCCATCTCGCTAGACATGGACCGCAGGGGCGTGGGTCAAGGTGGGTCAAGTCCGTAAAATGTAAACATTTCATGTGCGAACTACCCATTTTGTTTAACAAATTTAAAAGCTCCTAGCATCTTTTTTCTTCAACTAGTCGTCAGTAATTGTGAACTAAAGAAAACAGCTGTAGGGAGAATGGTGACTTGTGTGGAGAAGTGCCTGTGGCTATGTAAACACCTAGACAACTTGGTAGAGGCCAGAGAATGGTCTATTGTTTCATTGGTTCACGCCTGGCAGTTACGTCACGGACAAACATCGCACATAGAAGGAAATATGCGTGGGAAAATGGGATCCAACTGAAGGCCTTGACTAGACAAAGGCCATGACAAGATACAAACCTGGCAGTTACGTCACGGACAAACATCGCACATAGAAGGAAATAAGCGTGGGAAAATGGGATCCAACTGAAGGCCTTGACTAGACAAAGACCATGACAAGATACAAAACTTAATGGAGAAAGTTTTGTTGGTTGCAATTTTAAAAAAAAACCACCATTCCACATGCTCAAACGGCGAGGTAGAAAATATGGTACTATGTGAGGGTGCTTTCCTCCCCCCTCCCTCTCACTCCTTTTATGCATGCCAAATCCACAGGGAGGGGGTTGAACAACTGCTAAATACATCAGGGAATGGACATGATTGGTTTTATATGCGCCTAATCGGTCGTTGATGGCGAGATGCCAGAGATTTATCTCTACGGAAATTCCCGGACGACCGATGGACACGGATAGTTTATGGGTTCATGCCAGCCTAGTGCCAAACTTGGCTGGAGCACGAGAACGAGGCTACGAGATGGATAGTTGGGCGGAACGATGGAAACTACGGATGCGTGTAGTCACGCATGACATATTTTCAACCTAGACGCTGCTTGGGTTGATCTGATTTGATACTGATTTTTGTCTGTGTGCTCAAAACATCTCATGCGTACACGTGTACGAGAGTGATAGATGAATCGGTGCGACTAAAAGGGGTTTGGTCATACTAGATCGGTGACTTAAAGGGGTTTGGTCATACTAGATCGGTACGACTTAAAGGGGTTTGGTCATACTAGATCGGTGCGACTAAAAGGGGTTTGGTCATACTAGATCGGTGACTTAAAGGGGTTTGGTCATACTAGATCGGTACGACTTAAAGGGGTTTGGTCATACTAGATCGGTGACTTAAAGGGGTTTGGTCATACTAGATCGGTGCGACTTAAAGGGGTTTGGTCATACTAGATCGGTGCGACTTAAAGGGGTTTGGTCATACTAGATCGGTGCGACTTAAAGGGGTTTGGTCATACTAGATCGGTGCGACTTAAAGGGGTTTGGTCATACTAGATCGGTACGACTTAAAGGGGTTTGGTCATACTAGATCGGTGCGACTTAAAGGGGTTTGGTCATACTAGATCGGTACGACTTAAAGGGGTTTGGTCATACTAGATCGGTGCGACTTAAAGGGGTTTGGTCATACTAGATCGGTGCGACTTAAAGGGGTTTGGTCATACTAGATCGGTGACTTAAAGGGGTTTGGTCATACTAGATCGGTGCGACTTAAAGGGGTTTGGTCATACTAGATCGGTGCGACTTAAAGGGGTTTGGTCATACTAGATCGGTACGACTTAAAGGGGTTTGGTCATACTAGATCGGTGCGACTTAAAGGGGTTTGGTCATACTAGATCGGTGCGACTTAAAGGGGTTTGGTCATACTAGATCGGTGACTTAAAGAGGTTTGGTCATACTAGATCGGTGACTTAAAGGGGTTTGGTCATACTAGATCGGTGCGACTTAAAGGGGTTTGGTCATACTAGATCGGTGCGACTTAAAGGGGTTTGGTCATACTAGATCGGTGCGACTTAAAGGGGTTTGGTCATACTAGATCGGTGCGACTTAAAGGGGTTTGGTCATACTAGATCGGTGACTTAAAGGGGTTTGGTCATACTAGATCCTCCTGCGGTGTGGTCGTAAGAAGATTAGTGTGGGCACATTATCAGATAGGGTCTAATTACAACTGTGAGGTGACAACCGATAATCTGGCTTACAACTATAAATAGCCCGGATTAGGATCAAGCGGCGGTGCGGAGTTGTAAACCTGACGTTACGTGAGTATTGCGTCAGGGCAATAAAACATCAAGGGGACGCGGCGGTTGTGCCGGTCCTGTGAATATAACAGAGGCTGGCCGCGGTGTAATCTCGTTACATACAACACAGCGAGCCGACCAGGCTTTCCCCTCCCGTGACTGTCTGGCCAACTGGATGTTAAAAAACTGGCCGGACATGCCGCCCAACACAGTAAAGGCCGTGTGGAAACATTACGTTTTATCACTGGCTTGTGGGTTAACGCTGGTCTTCGATTGATAGATACTATACATAGGCCTATGTCCATACATATATACCAGGTAGAAATAAAAACTCGGCAGTCTCAACATTAACATTTCAGCAAATTGTTTAAAATTTGTAATTAAAGTAAATTGTTAATTGTTTCCCCAATTAGAAGTGATTTGTAATTACAGTCCACGAGACGAACACGCGCCCCAGTTTTCAAGCACATAGCAAGAGGTCTGCGGCAACTTTGGCTAAAGGCGCGGGTCATAAAGGCGAAGACGTGGTGACCCGGACAATAGCATTCAGCTGTGATACGGCGATACAAAGGTCAGATTGCTCCAGATGACCTAACAATTGGGGAGGGGAGAGGAGGAGATTATCTGCGGGCAAACTACGATCGTATACATTCAAAGGTTTTGTTTGAATAGAACAATTGATTTCAGCCTAGAGGAGAAATGTCGCGTGCCGGGAAAAAAGTCAAGACAAGTGTTGATGTCGTTAAAAGTCAAGAGTAGAAGGAGCTTTTGTTCAAGTTTAGCTTTTGATATGGTCGTTGTAGGCCAGGTGACGATAAATTACTGAGGCTTGCTGGCTGTATCTTGCTTGTAGTCTTTGAGGGGGACGGGGGAGGCAGGGCAGGTTCCAAACTCGTTTTGTACACAGGGCAAGATCAATTTATATACCATATGGGGTACTTAAAATACACAGGGCAAGATCAATTTATATACCATATTAGGTCCTTAAACTACACAGGACAAGATTAATTGTAGAAGATATTGGTCCTATATTGGGTCCTTAAACTACACAGGACAAGATCAATTTCAGAAGATACTTACTATATTGGATCCTTCAACCACACATGACAAGACCAATTTTAGATGCTATATACTATATTGGGTCCTTAAAATACACAGGACAAAATCATATCTTTCCGCTTTATGAACTATATTGGCTTCACCTTCTACAGCTTCAAATCATGAAAGTACTAAAATTGAACATTAAACACTGACTGACCTTTTCTCTTAAAGACCGCCACAGATGCCAGAGGTTTCTTCTTCTTGTCGTGTTCTTCCTCTGAGAGAAGAAGCTCCAGCTTGTCATCACTTAAATCCAAGAGAAATGCCAGATGCATTTGGCACATCTCCTGGAACTTTTCAGGAACACACTTGAGTGTCCGCGACACATATTTGTCCTCCAAGTACTGGAGCTGTCTGCGTGTCAGACATTCCATTTTGGACAGCAGTAACTTGTCTAGAAAAAGAATTCAAAGAACATAACTAAAGCATTGGTATAAACATAAGGCAGTATATTGTACGCTCACTTGCGGACTAAGTAGGTTAATGACAACATTATTAAGAGAACTAAGTATATCCCATCAACCATAGCCGATACGATGTCAGTGTTTGCTTATTAAACGTAATAATAGAGATCATGTGATGTTTTTAAAATCAATGAGAAAACTCCCAATGTTTCCCTTATTTCACTTACATGTACGCATCTTTAAACTAGACGGCCCCACGACTCGACCATCTATTCTATGCACTCACTACACTACACACACAGATCGTAAATCTCCGGCTATCGCTGGGTCCAACAAGCAATTGATAAACGTGAATGTCTTGTACACCGTGCTCTCGGCCCACCCCTGCCCCACATCAACTTGGCATCATCAATCCTTATCAGTACTACGCCCATAGAGATGGGCAGCAATCTAATTAACAATGATGCGTAAAGCTCAGGGGAGTGTGCGAGGGGGACGGGGGGTAGTGCTAAGGGTAGGGGGTACGGCTGGCGGGTTCAAAACGATTGTTTGTGTTCCTTATTTCAACTTTTTTTCCCCACCAAAATACGGTATTATGTGTATAGTTAGTAGATATTTTAGGCCCTAACTATATTTAAATATATTAGAGAAAATTAGATGCAATTGATTGAAAAGATATTCCAGTCGCTTCTAATCAGTCTGCTAATAGTCGAAGTTGATTTTATAATTAGAACTGTGGTTAAAACGTTGAAAGTCTAATATAAATTCATGATTATTACTTGTGACTAAAATAGAGTCTTTAGGTCCAACCTCAAATTTATACACAGTTGTAAGTTAGAACCCCCTCCGCAATTTTGTGTGACGTAATTAATTGACAACTCATAAGAATGCATCGCATAAGCTTAGGTGAAATCACTATTATGGATCACAAACAAATAAGCTAAGACCTACAAAGTCTCCGAGTTTTCTTTCAGTAAGAGAAAATAAAAAATACACAGGTCAGTGTTAGAATGAACTAGATTTATGAGGCCCGCTGATATGGCTGTAAGCCCGATTCTTTGCTACAAATCTAAGCAATGAAAACTATTCCAACTGACGGTTTATACTTAGGATAAAAAAGACATACCGATGAACTTGCTAAATAAGAAACTCTTAGCAGTGAGATTCCAAAGTTAGCATGAAATATCCAAATCAATAGTTATTGAATTTCACAGTATATCCAGATATTTAATAAGCAAACTTCTTACAAATTTAATTTGAAAACAGAAATATGTTTAGTAATCCTTCATGTGTAGCATTAGAAATCTTGTAATATACACTGAAAACAAGTGAAGTACTCCAGGAAATGTATGAACATGTATATGTGTACGGGAGCCAAGTCATAGACCCGTACAGCTGATTTCTCAAGTGCTGTATCATACGGCAAGGCCGGGTTTATATATTGGGTCAATCGGGTCATGTGGTCATCAGCTGACGGCGTTTGACAGGTTGCGCATGTAAGCGATACTATTGTGGTCAAGAATTTAGGGTGTGGTTTCGGGGCTTGACCACGCCCGGCGACCAATAGACAGACGTTCTGCCATGTCGCAAGGTAATTGAATACATTAAATAAATAAAATGTTATCAATAGACTTGGTCAAAATGGGATGTTGAAATCTACCGTAGTCAATCTATTTTGCCAACTTTTAAAAATATAAATTTCGTCGGCCAATGGTCGCATTCGAAGCAAAATTTGTATTAAAAAGTGGCATTGCATATCGTTCTAAAATAGTCTTATAATAATACTATAGGGGCCCTACATTTATCGTTTCAATTAAGTTAGATTTTGGCTTAGTCTACTTACTTCCATTTCCATATAAAGACCTTTAAAATAGAGATCATTTTTACTTATTACTATGGATAAAACTAATAAAAGAATGGGTACTTTTAATATTAATGTAGGCCTATAAATTTATGTCCTGATCACGAAAATAGTCTGAAGCTAGTAGATTTGATTTTAATGGAAAATAAAACACCAATCCATATAGATCTAAATCTACATATAGGCCTACATTTCTAATGTGTTAAGATTTAAAATATTGAGTGGACATAAAAGATGCACTGGATTTTTATTTTATAATGTAATTATGAAAACAATTTTGAACATAATAAAATGAAATAAGCAAATAATATGCCTTGGGTGTTATAACTTATTGTAACTTATATTCAAGGCATTAATAAGTAAAACTCTTAGTCTTAATAGTAACACACAAGTGACAATGTATGTGTAGATCTAGATCTATGTAGTATGTAGGTCTACCAGGATAGTGGTTGGCCTATAGATAATGTACTCTTAACACAGAATACAGACTAGACCTTTAGATCTAATTTCATACAGATTTTTGTTTGGATCTAAAATATAGATTATCTAGATCTATATCTAGTTACTAAGATCTAGATATCTAATTATCTAGATCTAGTCTAGTGAGCCTAATAAATTAAGTAGTACTAGATCTAGAGTCTAGAGATATCCTTCCTGTGGACCCTTGTGGAGTGGAGCATATAGATCTATGTACTATGTAATATGTATTAATATGTAAGGCACTAGAATCTAGATCTGTATAATAAGATTCTAATTATAGATTCTAGACCTAGAATCTAGTCTAGATCTAATTTTCTAGACCAAAAGTTTTGTATTTTATTAAACCAAACTTAGGCATCAGCTTAATAATAGATCTTTTAGATGACACTACAGTCTAGTATAGATTTAGACTGACTAGACTAGCTAGACCTAGATTAGATCTAGATCTAAATCAAGAGAATCTCTTGATCTAGAATATATAGTTCTATATGCCATCTAGATTCTAGATGGCCTATAGAACTATAGATCTCTAGATCTAGAATCTAGTCATATAGATAGGGGCTAGTTACACTAGTATTTACTAGAAATAGATCTAGACTCTAGATATAGAATAGTCTAGTGAGTCTAGTGTCTAGATCTAGAACTCTAGACTAGATTCTAGATCTAGAAGTCTAGATCTATTCTAAATCTAGATCTAGATCTAAATCTAGATCTAGATCTCTAGATAATATATCTAGATCTAGTCTAGATCTCTAGATCATAGATCTAGATTCTAGACTTGGACTGACTTGTGTGTCTTAGACTAGACGTCTAGATTCTAGATCTAGAGATTCTACAAAAAGTTATAATAAAAAGCATAATTCAGAATTAATTCATTCTGTTTGATTCATCAGACCATTGACTATGTCTCATCAATCATCATAGTGAGCCAGTCAAAATGGACGGGCAAATTTGTCACAAAATATGAAAATAAATCTCCCATAGTCCATAACTTCTTAGTTCTTAGCCAAGCATTTGCTAGGCTAAGATGAACTTACACTAGAATCTAGTCTAGATTCTAGATCTAGATTAGATCTGATATAGATTCTAGAATCTAGAGATAAAGAGTAAGAACACTAGGCCTAAGCCTAAGATGTAAGAAGTTGTTATGGCTAGGCCTAGCGGTAGCGGCATTTCATATCGAACGATGGCTAAGTCACACATACCTGATTCTCTGTTCATAGCTTCGATTAGGATTCAAATTATTAATAATTTCACCTTTAATTTAGAACTATGATTAAAACAATGATTATTATTAGAAAGATATCAATATCACATTGATAAAATAGATATTTCAAATCCAAACACTAGGCTATGCATTAGCTGACCCAATTTGTGTTAAATTCGCCGCTGTGTTATGTTTGATTTGTAACGGGATTCGTGATTGGCTAAAAAATATTCTTTTAGAACAACACTGCTACCTATTGGATAATGAAAATGCAGTACTGCGCAATCACGGAAACACATATTGTTCCTGTTTACATATCGACTGCAGAATTTAAAAATAAAATAGACTAACAGTTTGAGTAAGCAAATAAAAAATCATTTTACTCACTTAAAAGGGCGTGAACATAAACGGGTTGAGAGAATTTAGACTATCTAGACCTAATACAATCTAATAGGCCTACATATTTTACATTTTAACAAAGTAGGCCTATAGATCTAATCTATAATTTTTGCAGTGTTCTACTACTTCTTTCTACTTTCACTTTCTGTCTTTCTTTTGTTTTGTAACGTTTGTTTTTGTTGTTTCTTCAACCAGATTCTATACTTTTAATACTAGATCTAGATCTAGACTAGATCTAGAATCTAGATCTAGAAACTTTACGTCTGAAGGTCATAATAATGGTTAATATTTTATTTAATAAGTTACTAACTAGTAACTAGCCTCCCCCTTTTCAACATCACATTTGAAGATTTGTCAAAACTACTCAAAACTAAGTAATTAACTAATTAAGTCACTCAAAACTCAAAAAGTATTACACTTTCTAACACACATTCCACCCCCCCCCCCCTCCCCCACACTCTAAGCAGTTATGTAGCCTACCACAAAAACTTTGACTTTGATTTGAAGCAGTATCATTTTAGAGTGGTAGAAAGAACTTCACCAAACACATTTTGAAATAGAATGCTTAGACCAGGCTTACTACATCTACATATGACATATATTATTTATATTAATATTACCTACACTTTTAAAAGAATTATTACTAGAAATCTACTAGTCTGTTAAGTGTTGTTTTCTTAGTAAACAAATATTTTGCCTAATCTCAATTAAAGTTACAAGTAAGTAGCTTTACTTAAGCCTACATTAATAAAAAGACAAAAACAAAAAAAATAGCCTAATAAATAAAAAACAACAACAAAACAACAAGATTAACCTACTTATTACAAATTGACATACAGTACTTATGTTTATTATATATGTAGATTGAAATTACGAGGGACATAACATGAGTGAAGAACCAAAGCGGTTTAAGCTACGTGAGGAAAAACATGTGGTTGCAGAAATTGAAATTATGGCTTGGTCACCAACTATGGACCTCCTGGCTCTGGCTAATGTCAATGGTGATGTAAGTCTACAGTGTAGAGTTGAACATTATTTTAGTTTGGGATGACACTGTTGCTGCACTTAGAAGAAAGTCAATAGATCTGCTAGGTTGGGAGGGCATCCTGATATACACATATTTACATTTATAACAGCTTGTTTAGTAAAGGACTTTTGATGTATTTAGCTTTACAAGATAAGGTTTATAATTTATATTGTTGAGCTGTAAAGGCTGATGTTTCTGAGCTATACTATCTGTTTATATTGCTGAGCTGTAAAAGTAATAGTTTATGTTGCTGAAACGCATAGATCATTCCTAATTTCAGGTGTTAGTGAACAGACTGTCCTGGCAAAGGGTTTGGTCATTGCCACCTCCCACTGAGGGAGACAAAGTTGGTGGATTTGCCTGGAGACCAGATGGGAAAGGTTAACTAACATTTATACAAATTACATTTGTACATTTTTTAGTACAAAACCTGTAGCAATACTTATATTTTTTTCTTTGTTTAAAAATTGTAGTTATTGCTGTGGGCTATAAATCTGGCGTGTTGAGGATCTGTGATGTTGAAAAAGGTGATTTGGTCTACGTGGGTAGTGTCAAAGGTGGAGTAACATGTATAGAATGGCAGGAGCAGTCCAGGCATATGTGTGAGAAGCCTGAACGCTATGCTGAAGACAACTCCGCCAGCTACCTACCTACTGCACACCAACTCAATTCCTTGTAAGTTTTTATTGAATTGATAGTGCCTGCTGAAGCTAATAAGTATTTAATTGACTGTTTTGTTGCATTTTTTTTCTTAATTAAATCAAATAAAATCAATATATTTTTATAATTAGTTTATACCATTGTTTTTTTCAGATACAGTGATAATAATTTGTCAAAGGATCAGTCGTATGTATTTTGGCTGCATATTTTGTGTGCTGTGAATAAATAGTTTAAAAAACCCGTTTGTAGTCTGTTCTAAAATATAACATTGAGTTTTCTATTTGTAAACATTTTGATCTATAAAATTATTTTTTAAAAATATTTCCCTTTGTAGAATTCAAAAAGTTAACTACAGGTCAGCTGATAGTTTTGTAATAAACTTGTAAAATTAGTTAAAAACCCCAGTTTTGTATGTTTGCTGACAAATGATTTTGTTCCAGAGGTCTTGAGGCTTATGAAAGATTCAGGTCCTTAACAGCACAGAGAGAGTGAGTACTCATGTCTTGGAAGTTTTTACAAATAGATATTTTAAAAAAATCAACAAACAAAACAATTTTCTTTGAATTTGTTTTTATTTTAGGTTGAATATGCTAATGGTTGGCACAAGCTTAAGTGAAGTCAACTTGTTCTCATATGGAGCATTCCCCACTGGTGTGATTGATGTTTCAGTTGATGATGTTTCAGGGGTAAGACTAGGATGTTCTCCTGGATGTTTGGCTATGCCTGGTTCTGTCATGCTCTCAGAAAAACGACATCAGCAACAATGTTCTTGTCCCTACCAAAAATTAGCTCTCATGCTTGTTTCCTATGTCATTCAGCTTTGAACCACATCATTAGCTCTATAAAGAAGAGCTAGTATTTTATATGTGGAAATAAATATTATTAACTGCCCATCCTTATACAAGCATACTATTGGAATACATTTGTAGTCAGTCAGAAAAAACAAACCTGGCACATAAGTTGATGATGTGTTCAGTTTGAGAGTCCAGAAGATAAAATTAGACAGACGACACCACTAATTTAGCAGCATTTACTTTTTCAGTGCCAGCATGTTGACTCAGCCATCATTTCTCCAGATCTGAGCTGTCTCTCTGTTGTTGTTAAATCCATCAGTGATGGGCAAGTGAGCTTCTGGAATAAAACTGTAAGTTGTTTTCAACTGCTATAGACCACCACAATACAGATGTAGATGGTTTATAGCAAACACAACACTGTCAATTTTTGACTGCTGTCATCTACCACTGTCAAGTTTAGCTACTGGCTAAATGTTTAACCCCTTTATTTCTTTAGTATAGTATACTACAGCTATTCGCTAAATGTTTCCCATTTTGTTTCTTATAGTACAGTACATCCTTACTACTGGCAAGACATGAAGAAATCAGAATTTTATCCTCCAAATATGTGATGATAGCATCAGCTCAGATGGTAAGAACCCTTTTCCTTTGAAGAAAAAAAAATGATTCTCGCAGCCACAACAGCTTGTTTGAAATAGTTGTATTAATTATCTTTTGTTTTTCTTATACCTGTGTGTGTGTGTAAGTTTGAGAGTTATTTACTCAACCAGGAACTTCATGTCATCATACAACAAATGTGTGAAGCCTGGGAAGAAATCCTTCGAGAGATGGACTCAAAGCTTCTTAAATTTGCTGAGACCAAGAGGGTAGGTACAGCACCATGTTATGTCTTGCAGGGTCTGAGCTTTTTCTTGAGGGTCACTTCTCTTTAACTCTGGGCTTTTTCGTTTTACCTCCAAATATTAATGTCATTTTGACAAGATTATAACATTGTTTGTTAATTGTTTTGTTGGCTTGGTTGCATGGTTGAGCTCACAACTGCTAACCCAAAAGTCTAGAGTTTGGATCCCGGGCTTGAGTCTGTAAGATGTCCCTTAGTACACCCAGCTCTAATAGGTACCTGACAGATAAACTCTACTTCATCTGGCCCATGTGTCATAGACCAAACAGCAATAGATGTTGTATGTTTTGGACAATGCACTACTTCAATGATAAAGGGGCTGCCATAATCACACTAACAACATTATCAATAGAGAACCAGCTGTACATAGATTGTAAAGATCATGTATACAACTTACTTGTTTATTAGAGCTAGTATCTGGATCAGTTAATGTTGTTTCATTTTCTTGAAAATAATACAAAATTTGTCAATATTCAATTAAATTGTCTCTGCTGTTGGTGCTACAATAAAACAACCAACAGAACATGACTACGGCAGTAGCACAAATCTCCACAATGGCATCATCTTTAGAAGAGTTTTTATCATAACTATATAGCCTAAAGCACATATGCTATCCTATTTGCTACATTCAACAAATAAAAACAAAAACAATGAGTTGAATCCAGCAAATAAATACCTCAAACAAAGTGCTAAATCATTTTTATTGTCCTTGAAGAATAAACAGCAACAGTTTTTTTTAATTAGTTTTCTAGCTTTAAAAATGGAGCTTACTTTTCTAAATAATGCTAAACAACAAACTATTAACACAATCAATTTCTTGGTGTGTAAAGTAATTGTTGAAGTAACAAATACTTTTCAATTTTAAACTTTAAATTGATTTAAAAAAATGGTTTTACAATGTTTGTTCTGTGGCCACGAGACAGTTGTCCAATCAATTAACCTTGGGAAAATGGTGTAGGTCAGTTCTCATGTGGTCAAACATCCAGCAGGCCCTACAGACATACATGTACATACATATATAACACTTCTGGGATATCCTTCTTTACCTTTCTTAGGTTTTCACTGATTGAGGTTTTCATTGGGTTTATCAAATAACTAGCTGTTTAAAAGTGATGAAACTTTGGTACACTTTGTGCAAATTATCTTAGTTTTTAAATCAATGTATATATAGAATGTTTGGTCAAACTATTCTCTCACTACCCTCCACATTAGGCTATACATCAATCTATATATAGAATGTTTGGTCACACTATTCTCTAACTACCCTCTACATTAGGCTATACATCAATCTATGTGTAGAATGTTTGGTCACACTATTCTCTCACTACCCTCCACATTAGGTTATACATCAATCTATGTATAGAATGTTTGGTCACACTATTCTCTCACTACCCTCTACATTAGGCTATACATCAATCTATGTATAGAATGTTTGGTCACACTATTCTCTCACTACCCTCTACATTAGGCTATACATCAATCTATGTATAGAATGTTTGGTCACACTATTCTCTCACTACCCTCTACATTAGGCTATACATCAATCTATGTATAGAATGTTTGGTCACACTATTCTCTCACTACCCTCTACATTAGGCTATACATCAATCTATGTATAGAATGTTTGGTCACACTATTCTCTCACTACCCTCTACATTAGGTTATACATTAGTCTATATATAGAATGTTTGGTCACACTATTCTCTCACTACCCTCTACATTAGGCTATACATCAATCTATGTATAGAATGTCTGGTCACACCATTCTCTCACTACCCTCCACATGTAGCCGTTTTCATGTTTGCCTAATTTAACATGATACATTTTTACTCAACTAGTCCACATATTTACAAAGCTCTACATTATGCAAAGCCAATACACACTAAGCACAATTTGATATGGTGCTACCCAGGTAGCAAGTGTCAGTTTGTGCTAGCCCATCTTGCCCCGGCCTTGTGCTACCCAGGTAGCACTCATCCGTCAACTCGAAGCTCCGGGAGCCACTAGTGCCATAGCTACAGCTGATCCTGCCACATGCCTGAATCCTGCATCTGTTGACCGCGTCACGTGACCAGTACAATTACATAGTGCTCTACCTACTGCGGTGCCGAGCTCACATTACCGCCTACTCTTACAGAAGTGACCGTACCACGTGACCAGTACAATTACATAGCGCTCTACCTACTGCGGTGCCGAGCTCACATTACCGCCTACTCTTACAGAAGTGACCGTACCACGTGACCAGTACAATTACATAGCGCTCTACCTACTGCGGTGCCGAGCTCACCTTACCGCCTACTCTTACAGAAGTGACCTTACCACGTGACCAGTACAATTACATAGTGCTCTACCTACTGCGGTGCCGAGCTCACCTTACCGCCTACTCTTACAGAAGTGACCGTACCACGTGACCAGTACAATTACATAGTGCTCTACCTACTGCGGTGCCGAGCTCACCTTACCGCCTACTCTTACGTAAGTGACCGCACGGCACCGTGTGGCCTGATGAGGCTTTGAATATTCATACAACCGGTGGGCTTACTGGTGGGCGGTTATAGTAAAGGTCGGCCTACACCTCATATTCTTGTATTAACATTCTTTTGGTACACCCCATAGTCTTGTATTAGCTAGTTGGACAGGTACAATTAATAAAAACGTTTTTTTGCTAATGCAAAAAAAAAATTAAAAAAAAAATAATAATAAAAAATACGCGAACTGCTTTGACTAAAACAAGTTGAACATTGAATGCATTGAGTGGTTTATTATTCTTTATGTGTGCCCGTAGAATTGCACCTGTCCGTGATGCGAGCCTGACAATCTTGGTACTGATATCGGGTGTTAAACGTGCTGGTAATTAACCCCGGTCTTCCCCCCCCTCCTGCACCTTATCTGTACACGAACGCCTAGCGCTTGGTCAGGTGTTGTCATGCTACCACTGCGAGCCACAAGCGCTTCATTGGGGGTGTTGGGCGGTGGGGGCGGGGGGGGGGGCGAGTAGAAGGTCAAGTACGGTCATTGAGCGTGAGTAATGATTATTGCCTAACACGTGGAGCATGTCGCTGTGTGTATTCTGTTGGCACGCTTCACAGACCAGGTGTGGTCTAGCACCCCTGCCCCTAGTATTGGAGTGGTTTTAGAATTTGTTGTTTTCACCCCCCAATTTACGCTGCTGGTTTAACTGTTTTATATTGGATCTCGTGACTGGCTTCAAACTAAATGTCATGTCTTTTTTTTTTCAAATCCAAACTCGAGTTAAGTAGTTAAAACAAAACACTCCGTCGATATATTGCCAGCATTATGACTACTGTAAAAATCTATCTCTAGTTGCCTGCATCAGGTGCCTTATGACTACTGTAAAAATCTATCTCTAGTTGCCAGCATCTGGTGCCTTATGACTACTGTAAAAATCTATCTCTAGTTGCCTGCATCAGGTGCCTTATGACTACTGTAAAAATCTATCTCTAGTTGCCCTGCATCAGGTGCCTTAAGACTACTGTAAAAATCTATCTCTAGTTGCCAGCATCAGGTGCCTTATGACTACTGTAAAAATCTATCTCTAGTTGCCTGCATCTGGTGCCTTATGACTACTGTAAAAATCTATCTCTAGTTGCCCTGCATCAGGTGCCTTAAGACTACTGTAAAAATCTATCTCTAGTTGCCAGCATCAGGTGCCTTATGACTACTGTAAAAATCTATCTCTAGTTGCCTGCATCTGGTGCCTTATGACTACTGTAAAAATCTATCTCTAGTTGCCAGCATCTGGTGCCTTATGACTACTGTAAAAATCTATCTCTAGTTGCCAGCATCAGGTGCCTTATGACTACTGTAAAAATCTATCTCTAGTTGCCAGCATCTGGTGCCTTATGACTACTGTAAAAATCTATCTCTAGTTGCCCTGCATCAGGTGCCTTAAGACTACTGTAAAAATCTATCTCTAGTTGCCAGCATCAGGTGCCTTATGACTACTGTAAAAATCTATCTCTAGTTGCCTGCATCTGGTGCCTTATGACTACTGTAAAAATCTATCTCTAGTTGCCAGCATCTGGTGCCTTAAGACTACTGTAAAAATCTATCTCTAGTTGCCAGCATCAGGTGCCTTATGACTACTGTAAAAATCTATCTCTAGTTGCCCTGCATCAGGTGCCTTAAGACTACTGTAAAAATCTATCTCTAGTTGCCAGCATCAGGTGCCTTAAGACTACTGTAAAAATCTATCTCTAGTTGCCAGCATCAGGTGCCTTATGACTACTGTAAAAATCTATCTCTAGTTGCCCTGCATCAGGTGCCTTAAGACTACTGTAAAAATCTATCTCTAGTTGCCAGCATCAGGTGCCTTATGACTACTGTAAAAATCTATCTCTAGTTGCCAGCATCTGGTGCCTTATGACTACTGTAAAAATCTATCTCTAGTTGCCAGCATCAGGTGCCTTATGACTACTGTAAAAATGTATTTACAGTTGCTAGCAATAGGGGGCCTGTGTGATTTATGGCTACTGTAAAAATGTATTTAAAGTTGACAAATAAACACGAAGACGCGATGTCTTAAGGCAGACATGCGATGTCTTTAGGCAGACAACTGGCCACAATCTGTAGAGCGAGTCTGTTGTCAAGTGAGCCGGGATCCCAGCGGCATTTCTCCTGTATGACATAGTACTTAGTCTTCACGTTACATCATTGGTACATTGAAAGGGCGTCACATGAAATATTTAATGTTTAACCATTTGTTACTCTAACGTACACGCCATTTGAATGGATTCTTATAAACTTGTCATAAGTTATCTGACTTTGCTTTCCTGACGTCAGTAAACTTGCCATAAGATATAAAATACTCCACAATATCATGTGATTGTTGTAGCTTTAAGTGGCGTGGATTGTACACGTTATGTTTGTGAGATACGTGTTTTCTCAATATTTAACTATTTCTTGTCAGCTCTTTAGCTTTAATTTGATTCTCTGATCAAAGTG